TACATTTGGTGTCGGGCGATTTGGATTTCAGATATTTTTAATACGCGCCTAATGCCAATACGAGTGGTTTGAAGTTTACACATATTGCGCACTATTAGAAAATCATATGTCCGTTTTGTAAAATCAATTTGTTACCTGTGCATGTTAAACGGAATTGTGAGATGAACCGTGATGTGATAACGGTCTGTTTTAAACCATCATAGACCTACGAAGCATACTTAGGAAGAGAAGTAAAACGTGGTTGTTGAGTAAGACAGAACGATGGATAATAAGGTACATCACGGAAACCGAAATAATGAACGCGTTTATTTTCCAAGTGAAATCGTAGTAAAAAAAATGATAATTAATTATAATAACGAAACTGATATCAATCGTAGATAAATGAATTTATATTGCAGTTTACTCCGCGAGATCGTCAAGTATCTATACCCGCCTCATATTTTGAGGCTTATTTCTGCTTGTCATATTTTCTTTAGATCGGATTATTCGCTGCCATGTTTTCAAGCGAAACACCCGTCCTAACAAATACGGTTTTCAACATTTATTTTACCTATCGATTTATATTATCTACAGTGCTACGAATCGTTGAACGTGACTTTCCGACAAAACACTACTCCTGTATTACTCGAACGTTACGATATTGTACCTGGAAAATATTGGCCGATGAGGTTTGATTTCATTCCAACGTAAATAACCTAACACCCGAATATTAATTTCCCGGTAGACATTTTCCCGATTTATACATGCCCCCGTAGTAGTCGTAGTGCCCACGTCTGTTTAAAACCGTTTTCTCTGTACGGTATCGAAACACACCGTGTTGTCGTTTGGGTCAAGTCGTCGAATGCCGTGCCACGCAATGACATAATAATTTTTCCCGCGCGAAACGCATCGCGTGCGGCTCACCAAAAACAATATACTCGGTATAATGGGCACGCCGCCGCCGCCGCCGCCGCCGCCGCCGCCGGAGTGCGCGCCCTTTCCGTCGGAACTTTGTTCGGAAAGTGATTCGTTCTAATGGAATCGCAAAACGCCCGCCGCCGACGGTATGCGATATTATACGGTGTGTTTCAGAACGCGGAAAAACTCTGACGGGTACCTATTATTATAGACACTGCAGGTTATACCGAGAAATTCGTCTTGTCCGAAAAACTAACGCGTCACCGAACAAAAATGTAACACACTAACTGTAATTAGAAACATCGTCTGCGGTCACGAATTACGCCTAAAACCATAAAAAAAAGAAGCAGATGGTATGAAAAAAAAATGAACATCGTATTCTAGTTTCGTGACCCTACGTAGAGTGGATCGACCGAATTTAAAGTTTACGTTAAATATTCGTTTACGAGTCGAATAAAGAAATTTGAGCATATTATCGTTGATTTGTACTTTTTCTTTAGATTCCGAGTGCATTGAAAAATGTGTTAATTTTACTAAAATCCATTAGCGTATTTTCTGGGGAAAATTAATTTATAGTTAGTACATTGTGGGTGTTATTTTTAAATTTTCCATGCATTTTTGAAGTTGGCCTTTTGGTTGTAATTTGGTTGAAATTTGATTTTAAAGACTTGACGTTTGTACAGAATACTTATATTAGCCTTTTCATGGTAAAATGTTTAAAATGTTTTGGTGATTTTTGAGCCATTTTCACCGTGACATTAAACCATGTCATTTTAAAACATTATAAATTAATTTACTTAATTAATTTAGGAATAACTAATAAAATGATTATATATTTTGAAAAATATATAGCATTTAATAAAATAAAACACTATCCAAATTATTCGATATAGGTGGCCAGGCCTTACTACTGATATACGTGTACACAAAAATGTAAAACACAATGCAAAGTACAAAATGCAAAGCAGTCGAGTGACTATGTACATTGAAATGCCACGAAAACATTACACACGCGATTAAAATATATCATAGGCAGGTTTCATTCCATTTAAATACATTGAAAACGAAACGGATTCTTCAATTGTTACTGATAACCCATGCGGTAATGTAATTAGGTAGGCGCCTTGCGTTTATATTATTTGTGTTCTACAGTCAAATAATGATAGCAAAACAATAAATTACAGTAGTTTTAAATTTCGGATTGCGATTTTGTCTTCAGAATACCGAGCAAATGCGTAAAATACGGCTGATGTTGATGATTATGGGCTTCAGATGAAAACAAAAAATCGTGTTATTTATTTGGAAAAAATCGTGTATACTGAATGCGAAGCTTCATATCGATGTTTGCTTCCGTATACGTTGTCCCTTAATGCCCCTTATGTCCCGTGTCCATATAATTGGCCGAAAATTTGCGGTTTAATATCCGAAATACTATAGTAAATGCCATTATTTTATTCTACAGGCTTCTGGCGATACACAACAAACGCACACACACACAAACACACACACACACATACACATATACATGCATACGTACATATAAGCGGCGAACAAATAAGGAGATTATGTTTAATAAGTTTCTGTTTACAACGGGAATACAAGTCGGAACAATGATTAACGAGATTCGACATGACTGAAAAACAATAACGGGCAAACATATATTATCATAGGTACACTATCGTTGAAGATTACGTTTTAATAATACAACTAATAAACTCTTAACCGTGCGGATATAATCGTGCTTTTAACCAATAAAACAACAAAATACATCAATCATGTATAGGTAACAGCTATTATCAGTCGGTAGATATATTATTATTGCATGTATTTCAAGGCTCGTTATCCTAACAAATTTTAACTCGTACGTAATATTTTTATTATAGTGTAGATATATTATAACCAGGTGTGTGGGTGGCATGATGGAAAAGAGAATATTTTTGTGTTGTTATTATTTTTTCTTTTACTTTGCTCTTTTATTAACATCGAGTGCCTGCTTCGGTAAGCTGTTCGTTCGATATTAACGACATCGTTTTTAAAAAAAATGCAGCGGATAATATATTTATTGACAACAAAAACGATTCTGAGAGAAGTTCGTTTATACGTGATTTAAAAGGCCGTAATAATATTACGATTTTCATCAAAATTGTATTTTAAAACCATTGAACAAAAAAAATTACTACATATTAATTTACTTTTTTTTCCCTACAACTTATGATATTAAATTTTCAAACATTTTTATTTGGTAAAATCTTTGTATCCACATAATGTCTAGCCACCAAATATTAAAGAAAAATAAAAACTACAAAATATAAAATGTCTATAATAGCTAAAAATCGTTGGAATATTTTAATATAATTTCAACGAAAAAACGAAATCGAAAATTAACAAAATCATAGGTTCCGTAAACTTTTACATTCTTTCATTCATTCTTTTCCCGGTTTCATTGAGTACTTACGCGAACGTAACATAAACAACTGTTCTATGAATGTAAGCTATACGATTGGATTTGCAGCTAATTCATGATACCAGAATTAGTGTATATCGTGAGATCTTTTTGTTCATGCATACCGTACAAATCATCACATACTTTGTATTTATTTATTTATCTTTATTCACGGAGATGTATGTATATACACAAAAATTATTATGGATTTTAGTCTGGAAAACCGGTATGATCTACGCAGTTGTGCAAAATCGGTACCAGGAAAAGGTTGACTGTGGTGGAAAAATAATATTAACGAAGAATAAAAAGAAAAAAAATACGTTATTTTTATGTTCAAATATTTATATGATTTTCGTTTTTGCGGGGGGTGGCACTCGGTTAATCATCAATCTTCTTATCCGGGAAAAGTTCAAAAAGATTTTTTTTTATTTTCATATATATTTTCATGGGCATATACGCAATATTTTCGAATGACGGTTCTTGGGACGCATAATACCTACGTGAAACGCGTAAAATAAAAAGTCGGTCGGCGTATACATATAGGTATAGTAGAGAAAAAACCAAGTGTGTCGTAGGACGTCCGGCAAAAGTGAAAATTCAAATATCATCTCTGAATGTTATTTTTCGTCAAATTTAGTAGTCGTGTAAAAGCTATTGAGTTTTACGATTCATACATTATAGTATTTATTTCACGGAATGTAAGTGATATATTAAATAATAATAAGCTGAATTCAAAATTGACGATAATGATAATTTATTTATTTTTTTATTTCCATCTCAAAACCCTTTTTGATTTGATACCCTACTACTAATGTCTAACCATTTCATTTAAATGAAAAAAAAAAAACAAAACAGGTACACATATTATTTAACTGTAGTTGATATTATGTACGTTGTTTGCTTTGTATTGTTTTTATTTTTATATTTCTGTGTAAGTGCATAGGTTTGTTTTATTTTTTGCTTAACTTGATTTTCGTATTTGCTCTTTACAAACGAATATGAAATACAAATAGAATAATGAACTCAAGAGACTTTTTAATTTCAAGTATCCTTATCCACAACTATATTTTAATGCATTTTTTTTTTTTTATAAACAATTTACATGAATCGCTGTAGTATCACAATCGCTTATCATACAAGTGAATTTTTTTTTCATTCTTATATTTTATATTGTCCGTTAATTAAAAACAAATCTAGATTATAACAATTTGAAGCTATCTGTTCCGCCCGTTCTTACTTGTGATAAAATAATTATTATTACGGTTCTTACAACGGACTATACCTTATGAATTATTATATTTTATTAGTTTGTTTTATTTGGTCGAACTTAATTTTTTTATTTTATCTGTATCACCAAGGTAACTCATAAATCAGCGAAAATATTTAGACATTTTTTCCTTATTATCAGTTACACTGTTTCAGCTTAATTTGGGGATCAAATACTGGGATAAAAGTGAACTATGAGTTATCCCTGGTCAATAATTATGCAAAGTTTCTGCTCAATCCATTCAATAGTTAGGAAAAAATGTAGTAAACAAATATGCATCTTGAAAAATCTTTCACGTTTATAATATTAGTAGAATACAGGTAAGACTCTCGTTAATTGTTTCATTTCGGATGTGCGTGAGGACAACAGGAAAGATATGTACCATGATGGGCGATGTATGCAGACAATATAGCATTGATAGAAGAAAATCTGGAAGAAGTTAAAAATATGAGATATAGAAATTGGAGAGTAGTACTTAAAGAAAAGAGATTAAGGATAATTAGAAGTATACGTTTGTTGGATCTGAAAGAGTTAACTAACCAAAATAAGTGGTATAGTCAAGGTAGAAAATTTTAGTGTGGTTGGCTGAAACAAAAGAATTTCAATGAGACTTAAAACGTTTTTTCTACAGAAGTCTAGGGAGACAATTTATGTTCTATAAATCAGGTTGTTGGCCAGAAAAAATAAAACAGAGAATGAGTATAGCCAAAATAATAATGCTTAAGTTGTTGAGTACATTGACAACAGATGATAATATGAGGAATGAGTACACACAAGGAAGTTTAGGTGTGGTTTTGATATTAGACAAAATTAGAGAAAATAGACAAAGATAGTAAGGGCATATCATTGAGAAAAAATAATCTGATGCAGTAAAAATTATAATGAAACTAAAAGTAATAGGAAAGATGAGAGCAAAAGACCAAACAAGTGGTGGTTGGATACAATTCAGAATGATATGAAGACAGATGATGTGAGGTGAAAGCTTGATTTAAGTGGAAGTCTAAAACGAGTTGGGTAGACGCCAAACCGTTGGGATGAAGACAAAAGAGAAGAAATAGATAGGTAGGCTTTATAGAAATATAAGTAATGCATTACATGCAGTTGTACAAAACAATCCCGAAAAAAAATCTGTTTTATCAGCTAAAAATTTAACGTGTTCGTCCATATGAATAACATTTACAATATATTCTGTCACCGTTATCGTTGACAAGACCCAGTTGGAGTAAACATCGTGGACCTTCAGAGCCAGCTCCTCTGAAAACAATTCTCAGTTTTACTCTCATTATTTTTATTCCCAGATATAATTTTCGAAAATAAGTCGATGACGATAATATAGTGTCTAGACGGACAAACCGACGCGTTTTGCTCCGAACGAGTTATTGTTATTTCAGAAAACAGTAAGGTAATTAGGAGATTTCTAGTCGTTTCCGGCCAACTAACTGACTGACTGAGCATTGCGGTATACCATCTGGAACGTGGTCGTTGTGTACACAACGACTACGTATTCTTAATACAAATATATTACCTATAGGAATTGATTATGGGCGCATCCGGAGATGGGATCCTGTGACAATAATTTCAACTATAGACATTTACAATAACGCGAGACGTTGGAGTGGTTTGACTGCACTGTCTTGTAGTAGAATACAGGAAATCTCGTCAATCGATGTATTTCCTCTAAGAGACTGGAACATTAATGTTTTATAGGTTCCAGTTTCGATTTGGTTATTGAACAAATAAATTATAACAACAGAAAAGGTTACACCAGAAAATCTATTCTTTCGCATGAACTCCTTGTAAAACTACTTTTGATGATATGATCGGGTAAAATTATTGATAATTACTGCTTTGTCAAAACAATTTTATCCATATAAAACTAAATGAAAATTAAAAAACAACTGTCAATATTTAAAATGTTTATAAATAGCTCAAAAATATCATGTTTAAAAAAACAAATATAAGTATTCTCTAAAAACTGTGAATGATCATATGATAAGATATACGATTATTAATTATTAATTTAATATATAAATGAAAAAAAAAAACAAAATCACAAATATGTATTCTATTATTTCCCAAAAACTTTTCGGTTTTATCTAAGTTTTCTCCCGGTTTATTCCAATTCTTAAGAAAACTACAGGTTAAATCAAAAAACGCCCTTCTCAATTCACTAACTGGATCCAAAAAGCTATAATTATAACTCTTTTTTCGTTTTCGAAAATAGAAACAAGATTTTTAGCAAAAAAAGTTTTTAAGAGACAAAAAAATAAATTAAAATACACAGTTAATAGTAAAACCAATGCATTTCTCACTGCACTTAGAATTTAAGACAAAAATTTAAATTTACTCAAAACCGTATCATTGACAATTGGTACATGATAAAATATTCAGCCCTTATAATAATATTAATATAAAACGCTGATTAATTTGTTTCGAACTATTATAATACAATAAGAAAATGCGAAAAAACCATCAGTCCTTTTTGTTTGTTATCATTTTTATTTTTTGTATTAATTATATTAAGTTCACAATATTTCGTTGCATAGTTGACGTAATATTTTATTGACTGTATAGTTTATATTATATTCTCGCGAGACGAAAAATTTGCATTCGGTCTTTCGGTGATCAAAAGGAAAATATCCCTTTGCGGAATCTCCTCGATCACGTAGATGAATCGACACATTTATTTATCTAAAAAAAAAATAACCCTTTAGCCAGTGTCTGTAAAATTTGAATAAAATAAAATTATAATATAATTTATACACGAGCGCCCTACAATATTTACATAGATTTCGGTAATATTATCTGTATACTCGTAATACCACAAACGAAATATTATTACATTGTGTTAACGAATCCGAATTGGGAAAAAAACGCATCAACTACCTATTACCGGCCTCATGACGGATGAACGAATCGAAACTGAATAATTGGTAGCGTTTTATCTAGTTAGACGTAATTTTATTTCTTATATTATCGTCTAGACAAGATCTACTGAATTGGTGACGACTCTTTTGGATTCACGCGGACCGCGTTCAATCGCGGAGAAAATAAATAATAAGATTTTCCTCGCTAAATGTTCGCCTAAATATCTACGGTTGTTATGTCGACAGGCTCGCGTATAATATAATATACGCTCATCGAAATGAAAATCGATAAAACGAAACGTACTCGCGGGTGTATTATTATATACCGATATAATACGATACACGGTACTAAAAATGCGTATAACGATGGCGTATTAAAAAGAAAAAAAAAAAAGGAAAAAAAGCCTATTCCAAAAGCAATAGCCGCGAGCTATGGGGATTCACCACAAAAGAACGATTCGGCACAACGACTTTGTCGAAATGCTACAAGTATACGAATAACAAAATAATACCTACCTACGTTCTAAATGAGGGTTTCCAGCGGCGATACGAATATGCAATAATGTTGTCGAGTAATTTGTTTTTTTTTTTTTCAACAACGAGAATGCATTTTTAAAACCCTATTAAGTATAATATATACAACGCACAGGAAATAATAAAATAAATGTTAATTTCGCGAAAAATCGCGTTTCCGTCGAATTACGTCGAGGCGCATTTCGCTAGAGGCGTTTTAATAAAAAAAAACGAAAACGAGGGGTATTTTTTAGTATTATTATTATTATTATTATTTTTTTTTTTTTATTTTTTTTTTTTTTTTTTTTTTTTTTTTTTTTGTTCATCATCAACTTGACGTCGTAGTGACGATTACTACTGCATAATACTGTTGTAGAAGAATTTCCCTTCGCGAGGTAATTACCCAACAACTAATTATTACTAACGAACGCGTCGATGTGTGATGTGTACAGTTTAGAAAAAAAACACACTCGCAGTAGTATATTTGAACCGTATCATTTATTGCATTTTTTAAGCGTTATTTACTTTCTTTTCATAGATGAATGAAATCGTTTTCGTATCCGTTGCGATTTGTACTATAGATGGCTGTGTTACATAGTATTTCTTAAATCTTAAATGCTTAAATGTTTTGAAAATATAAACTAAAAAGGGTAATTCCAAGAGGGTAAATTGTCCATGACGAATATAAATAATAACAATGCTGTTATTTTTTCATCCGTGTTGTCAACTCATAAATAAAAAAGAAAAAAAAAATTCAATTTTCATTTCAAAAATACCGAAAATTCCGAGTCGGCTACCCTTTAGTGGTTAAGTTTCGATATGAAAAATACACATCGTTCTTCCTCTTGATAATGCAGCTGTAGACTTAGAAATAGTGAGGGTCATGTATGTGCACAGTGCACACGGCAGACTACGCACATCTTTAAGTAATTAAACGGACAAATTATGTTTTCGATAATTCATTAACTAATCAATTTTCGAGACTTAATCTACACATCAAACGACTTACGCTAAAAGAAAAAAAAAACATGCAAATCGGTTCGGTAGATTATCCGTTATAGCTGTCCACAGATATCGCCTCACGTTTTAATGACATATACAGATATAATATAATAATAGATTTACAGTATCATGATATTTTTAAAAACAATTTATTAAGTTGCTATGACGTGCATTACAAAAAAAAAAAAAAATAAATAAATTAAACAATAATACTATAGTAAAATATTCGCGTTGGAAAATTGCACCGATAACGACAAAGTGTAATATTTCGGACGAGTCATAAATATTATTTTATCGAAAACGCGCAGAAATTCGTGTTGAAATCAAAAGCGTCTACTTATACTATGTACTGTATAATATTATATTATATCGGTCTTATCGATCGTATAGAAGTGTTGTTTGAGGCGAACCCGAAATCGAGTAAAACGAATTAAATAAGTTGTATTAAAAAAAAAAAAAAAAAAACATTGGAACGGCTCCAAAATAACTTTTCGGATACACGTTGTATACACTGTACATGAACCCACACAAACTTTCGACTCGTATTTTTCTTTTATATAATATATTATACAGGTTGCGCCTACTCCGGAAACGAACGGTAAAAAAAAAAAAATCAGACTGGCACTTCGTATAGCTACTAGCTGTTATTGACTCGGTCGATTGTCATTGAAATCATATTACCGTATCCATTTTCAATATATATCTGAACATTGAACCGAAACACTATAAATTTAACCTCAAAATTTTGTCAATGTTTCGTTTTTAAGGTGAAAATTCGATGCGACTAAGGTTAAATTTTATTACATATTTTATTCGACTCGCATTTGAACTAGAAAAAAAAATGTAAACGTCGACCTGCACTCTAGTTAAAAAAGATACAATTTTTCAAACAGAAATGTTCGCAACAAAAAAAAATTTGATTTTTAACTTAAAAAAATACTTATTTTCCATCCCGCGTATATAATTTAATCATTGACTTGTTTCAAAATGATGTTTAAATTCGGAGTGTAGTGAGAAATGTATTAGTATTACGATAATGTTTATTTTATATTTCTTTTTCTCTAACAAAATTTTCACAAGAAATCTTGCATCACGTGAAGCACATTTTCTGAAAGGTAACTGTATTTACTTGGTGGTTTATGAAGGTAATTTTTTAATTTTTTATATGGTTTTCATAATAATTGGAAAAAAAACTGGAAAATTAACGAAAATAATGTTTTTATTGTTTTTTATTTTATAGTTTTGTTGTAATTCAATTAACATTATTCGTAGAAACTTGAAATTTGAACAAAAAGTTATATTTGCCCCATCTAAACGTGGTAAAATATACTAAATATTTGTGCCATTTTTGAGTTATTTATAGATATTTTAATTTTTTTTACGTATGTTTTACTCGGTAGGTACCTGCACTGTGGATAATAATGTTAAACAGACTAAACAGATATGCATACTAATTTAACAGGTGGACCATTAAAAGTCGTACTCAGTGGTCAAAAAAAAAGAGTTTTATGTAGTATTTTTTTTTTTTTTGTAAGAATTTAATACCAAATTTTGATGAAAATCATAATGACCTTTCAAAATATGTGTAACCGGACAACGCTCTAAATCGTTTTTCGTTAACAATGGTTTATCGTTGCATAAAAATATAAAATAAATTCGTCTCTATATCCTATCTTCTCAACTTCTCACCTACAACAGTAGCCCACCCATCATGCAAAGTATGTATATTTTATTTATTTTGTCGTTTTAACTCTTTTAACATCATTCATTAGTGTTGTTGATTAACGATTATTTTTAATTTATTCAATTTTTTCTTTTTCATGCATATAATTAAAAATAGTTTTTTGAGCTTGTCAAAATTACCTTTTTCAACTCGAGTGCAGTTCGACCATTAAACGTTTTTAACCGAGTGCAATCAGAATGTATTAATTTAATTACAATTTTCTTTATCCCCGTGGGCGTATGAATAAAGCTACACATATTCAAGTTTTTTTTTATATTTTGTTTTCATTTTAATAGTAAACGCTGCAAAAGGAATTCCAAAACAATTTATCTTATGTTTTCTACCGCGTCGCGTTCTTATACCTAGCGCGGAAACAATAAACATTAATCACTATATTATTGTACTATATAATAATATTATATTTCCGATGCTCTCCGGAGTTACGTTTATTGAATAAAGGTTTCCGTTAGCAAAATATTTAAAAGTGTCGACGTTCAACAATTTATCATAACTAATATTAAAGTCGTTAAATATTCGCGTCGAGGCCCAAATGCTTTATTTTTTACTCGCAAATCTTCAGTCGGTTTACTCGATCAAAACTCGCATCACACGTCATCAAAAGTCCAGTTAACTTAAAAGTTTATATTAAGGATGTAAGTTATTACTATTTAAAAAACGTAATAACTCTTTTTTATTGCTAATTTTTAGTATATTTTTTTTTTTGTAATAATTACTAAAAAAAAATATATATTCTTTATTTAAATTTATTTGTAATTCAAAATGGCTCCATTATAAATGTATGTTTTAACAAAATTGTTAATGTTTATTACTAACAATCATGGTAATTCATTCATTTTTTTAAACAATTTTTAAAGTTTGTTAAACTTAAAATGTATTTCTCGCTAATTTTACTAACGATAAATGATAAGTGTTTATCAGACTCACAGCCTTAAATTAATATGATAAATATATTACCAAAGTATACAATATTTTAATTTAAGAATGCAAAAAATTGTAATTATTTATAAAACATCAAAAACTGTTTAAAAATAGTTGACTCAACCTTAGTAAAAGTTTTCGACACCAAAAGGTTTATAAAAATCGGATTTGCAAAATGGCTACCCTGATTTTTTTGTTTTAATTTTCATTTTGAATTTCCAAACATTAAAATTCAACTTGAAATATTTAAATTATAGTGCCAAGGTGATGTAATGTAAATATTATTAAAATAAAACCTTAAACATAGCAATAGAATGGAAGTTTTTACCTTTGCCATATAGTCCTGTATATAGATTATAATGATAACGTTCGAAAAAATAAAATTTTATTTGTTGTCATCGTCCCACGAAATCATCGAAATAATACAGACGACGAGTTTAGGTATGTTTAATAATGTAGTAAACATTTAATTAATACGGTCCGTCGATTGCGGTTTTATTTTTCGCATAAAATAATAACAATATAATACTATTTATTTAAAAATTTTTTGTTTTTAACAAATTATGGAACAATACGAGCAATGCGTAAAGGGAATATACGTACACACACACTGTACTGGCTAGGGTATTCTCGGTACACATACCAGGATACCAGCTATAATATGTATACATACTAACATACCAGTAGCACATACGCTTATCGTAAAATGCGCGCGAGCCCGAAATTAAACCAGAGTATAAATTAACTTGAAAACACGTCATTGCAGGGGTACTGTACGCATATATTATAACCATACATTAGCAATAGCGTCTGATACCCTGTCGTCGTCTCTTTAACGGGCGCGAGAATCAAACTAACCTAAGTTCGCGATACACCCGAAAACGCGTAGCAGCACGTATACTATAACAATGTTCGATAATGTTACGCCTAAAAACTGGCTAGGGTGACATATTTCGTATATTAACCTATATAGTTGTGTGTATTGATACCGAACGCGATAATTATTGACAGCGAACGCGCATCAATGTCCCGACGCATGGTCCAATCAATTTCGAAACACGGCCGGACCGCAGCAAAGGGCGCGAGTATATTATTATAAAACGACACCCGAATTAACGTCAAATCACACGAGTGTCCGCCGCGATCGTTTGCGAGCATCTCTACATAACGGACTTGGACTTGTAATATTTGTCCACGTTTTATTTATTGGTCTTGAAATACTTTGGCGTATTAATGGACTAGTGTTCTTTGTTGAAATTTCGGGTATAATTCAGCTTTGTGAGTTAAATTTATTTCACTCAACCTTACATCCTTCCGAACAAGTACGTTACAGGCAGGTGTAGAACGTTTGTAGAGATTGTCTCTATACTTACCATCAACACGTTCATCTATCTCATAATTGTCATAATTGTTTATAAACAAATTAGTTAATTTTATAATCAAACACCCGCAGTTTTACAATATTACGCCTCCGACAACCCACCAATTTTAGTTGAGGTAATGGCTTCAAAAGACAATCATCGTACACTACACTACTGGCTTATACGGAGTTGCCTGTGACAAATTAAATGCCCACATAACTAGCATGCAATTCAGTGATTTTAATAGTAAAATATATTATAATAATTAAAAAAATACCCACGAGCAAAAGAGCGAAAGTTCAGTTTCTCCAGCACACTCGTTTCGGTTTTAAAAAAAATGATATGTTCGATGTTTGATTATATGTTTTTATGTATGAGTTTGAACTCATTTGACCAAGAGGGAGTAGCTAAAAGTCTAAAAAAGTCCAAAAGTATTGCGGAAAATATCATATATTTGCTTATGACAATAACAGACACAATGCAGTGCTACAACAGTCTCTATATACGAGGAAAATTCCTCAAAAAAGCCTAAAGTTATAAAATTATATCTCCATTAAATTTATACTTTAGTATGTAATTATATAACTAATCTTATATTACTAATAATATACAGAAAAAACAAAAAAAAAAAAAATGAAAAATTCACGAATCGGAACACCAAATTGTATTATCGTGAATTATTATTACTGCTCGGATATCATTATCATTATTCATTACTCACCCAGATCACGGCGCTCACGCAAAATATTGTGTACTTCAACAGATTGATATGTTTCTCGAGCTTGGCCGCAGATTTGGCCAGAGCGGTCTGTGAGCTGATTTTGGCCATCGTGTGGCGATTATATTTTTTAGTGAAACGTCTGGTATATTATTATTTTAGGTAAAACACCAATTGAATCGTTATTGAACAAAAAAAAATCGCCACTTTTTCACGTCCGTACTCGGAGTTTTATTATTTAGGATTATGTGACCGGTACAGGTACCCGAACGAAACCAACTGTTGACGGCTGGGTGATGCGACAAGTGGGTGCGCGACGTTTAGAACGAAACGTACGCGTATAATATTTTAGTATTTACACAACGCCGCACCCGATAAAGAATAACGTCGTCGCAATCTCGAAGAGTCCCAGAGTGACGGCAATAATAATAATACACAGGCATATTATACATACGGTAATAGATAACACGTTATCGTACGTTCAATGATAAATAGTATGACTAGAAGTGGTGACTAACGTGACGCGTCGTTTTCGAGAGGTTCGAGCGATACGTCAAATTTTTATCGCACGTGTAGCGAACTTATTTGAAGCCCGGGTCACGCTGTCACATTTTCTTCCACACTGCAGTTTGGTGTCTGCGTATCAATACGAATGAAAACCAGTCAAGCAGTAGAAAAACGTTCCGCGAAAACCGATTTTTAGATTCCCAGCAAAGCCGGAAAAGTTATGACTTTATTTTTACTAGATATGAAAGTTGTGTTTGTTTTTTCCCGTATGTTCACCCGTTTACCCGGTTTAACGAGACCGGAAAATTCACTCGTGTGTAGTACTTTGGTAAAAAAAGCTATCAATTAACAAATTTTTTTTAATAACAAAAGTAACCCGTCAATAAAATTTAAAGATTAATAGGTTTTGGATAACATTTCATCACACGCAGAGATCTGGGGTATACCGTACATGATAGGTAACCAAATTATCACTCCTAGAACCCATCTTGGATTTTAAAATATCTGTATGTTTGGGCTAACACTTGATTTTAATGTGATGAGATTTACTTTCATTGTTTTGTATGTCTGTGAACAACTTTTTGACCAGAAGTTCCGAATGTCGGCTCAAGCAAAATTATCATAGGGTATAGTAGGTTATAACGAATATAATAGGTATTCAGAATATATTTTTAGTGGAAATTCACTGAATATCCTCTTTCCTTAAAAATAGCTTCACGGACAGATGGACCAAACCTCGTTTCCCTTAACTTTTGCACTTTCCTCGGTTACCCATTCCCGTACCAGTGCCAGTATTTCCTATACATAAAATATAATATTATTGTGTTACAAAATAAACAATTACTTACCATTTGTTTTCCAATGGACGCACTATAAGTAAAATCTTACTCTAACCGTACGGGTATCCATAGAATTTACTGCGTGTACATTTGGACACAGAAAACCTCCCTAAAAAATTACCGGCTCGAAATACGCGCAACCGTTCAAAACCGAGACGCGCAACATTACAAGTTTCACATTACCCACGTTTTTCAAATGTTCGAAATTCAATTATCCGGTTAGATTATTATAATCTTTAAAAACCCTTTTTTAACGACGTTAAATTATCGTATTTTTCATTTTAATGAAATAATAATAATATTATAATAATTACGTAATTAAACATAGTAGCCGTCAGTTATTCAATTATTTACACAAATCGTATTATTTCGTTAGTATGGGTAAAAGCGTTAAATTTCGAATAGCTACCAGTACTCCTCGACATAATTCAGGTACCTACGGACATTTGGTTTTCTTCTTCTTCGGCGCACCTACTCGAGAATATCTTAGTATCGTTTCCTTTAAATGTATACCGAACGCTTTCAAACCTATACCGTCTACGGTATCTTTTCCCGGGCTGCTTATCCTGTGGTCACTTCACTTTGGGCCTGGACTTATTTTGTTTTTATGTTTGTACTTACTTTCTTTTTTTTTTCTACACCAATTTCTATATGTTTTTTTATTTAATTTCGTTTTGGGATTTTCTCTGTATACAGTTGTACCTAAGTAGTTAATCACGCAGAGAGATTAAAAAAATAATTATTTACATACAAGATTATAATTTATAATTACAAGCGATTTATAAGACTAATATAAATTAGGTATATACATAAACGTTATGCAAATATTGTTCATTACCGGAAACAGCGATAGTAATAATTATGCGAATATTTCAAGTTCCGTCCTAAACCTTACTCATTATTGACGATGCATATTGCATATATATGTACACGAGTATATACGAATCGCAATACGTAATGATGTCATTTTCTCGAATAGTCCGTATAGTACTGTAAACAAAAAACGGTATTTTATTGATGGTGATTTCGTAATATTTATCGTGCGATAGTAAAAACCATAAAATAATAAACACAAAGCATTGTATTTATCAAGAACCAGCGGATATTTTAAGGGAATTTGAGTTTTTTAATTTTATTTAGACATTATTATATTTAATCTTTTAATTATCTGAAATGTATTACTGAAATTTATCCTTATTGTTACCATATTGACTTTTTATTTTCAAATAGCGAGCCATATTAATATTAAAATCCTACTTGAAAAAAAAATATTTGTCTAACACTGTTGATATACATATTATTATCGGATATACTTTTAACGGGTTATGGGTAATGGTTTTAAATTTAAACCTAATGAGTCGAAAAGAGGTAAACAACTTCATATTCGTGTTTAGATAATAATTCCATACATTACTGATTTAAATTGTATAGTGTCTTGTAAACCTTGTAACTATTATATGGGCTTCATCCAATATCAAAAGTTTCGAATATGAATCTCAAAATATGGGTAACTGTTTGAAAATCAATAGTTCATAGTGGTGCATTTAAAGGGAAATGGGCCATCGTATTGGATGGAAATTTTTAGAGGAAAGAGGAAGCAAGTTTGGGGTAAGGATAATAAAGAAAATATTTAAGTGTAAACTGAAAGGGAGTGGATATTTTTTTCTGCGGTTTGATTCTTGAATCTCGTATAAGACATTTGTCATGTCCAAATATCGTACATCTTAAATACATATTCTTGAAATACTCGCGAAATTTTCATTCCTAACCAAACTATTTAAAAGTGAACGAGATTTTTTTCACATAACCAATATTTTACCGGCGAGAAAACGCTGGTAGAGATAAAAATAACAATTTTTGCCAGAACTCCATCAAAGGTATATTATTAATTATTATGTTAATAACTCATTGACCTTCACATTGTCATTAATTTAAACATATAAAATAATTCATATTTGAAGAAAATGGAAAATGACAAAAAGATGTACTGTGCGAAAACGCAAAAAAAAAAAACGTCCTAGGATAAAAGATACACGTGCAACCACTATTATAGATGATTTAATGTATACTTGTAAGCAACGATGAACCATTGATTACAAAAAAACAATTCTGAGCGGAGTTTAGTTAATAGTGATGCTTTATCAACAATATTTTATGCCATATTATAGTGAAATAATTAAATAGGATTTATATAATTTCTTTAATAATATTGTTTAATATTGTACCGATTTTCCTACGTTTTTCCCAGTTTTCTCATGTTGTATCCCGGCTTTTCATATTTGCTGCTGGGAAAAAAGAAAAATACCTCTCCAGGGAAATTTCCTTTTCGAAAAATTACTATCATTAAAAGTTGGAGCAATAATGCTAGTAGATAAGTCATTCACAGAAAAAAAAAAGGCCGTATTAGATTTAAACTAATACCTACATTTTTTATATTTTCTTGTTTTTCGGTTTTTCAAATGTGATTAGAAAACTCTTGAGAAAATCCAAAAATTACTTTCTTAAAGTACTCCCTCCCTCACCGATTTCCTTTCAAAAAAAGTGCAACATGTACAAATCTAAGCAAGTTTTCTGGTAGAAAAGTTTTTAACAGATGAAAAAAAAAACATCTTTGTAAAACCATAAGCTTTTTCGCTCCACTCAGAATCTAAAATTAGTAGATTTATTAAAAAGTAAGCTACAACTTATGTTTATTTATCAAACTTTTAAATTTATAAACGCTTTTGATCAATGGACAATCGTTGCTAGTATTTAAAATACATTACTGAGCTTCATATATTATGTTGTTACTAATTGGAATTTGATAACCTACAGTGACAAACAAATTTGGGGCTAAAAATAATTTTATCAAAAATCTATAGTACTTTTAACAATTAAAACCTAGGCTAGGTACGTATTAATCAATTACTATAATAATAAATTAGAACTTACCTTTGATGAAACACTAATAGAAGAAGATCTTGTATGTGAATTCATGTAATTATAACAATTAATTGACCAACGAATAATTTGGGCAGTCTGTAATTTATCAAAAAACTGAGTAAATAGATCATATTTTACTAAGAAGTTTCACCTCACGTTTTTTTTTAGCCAAACCTTGAGTTTTTAATTTCATGTTAAAAGCATAAGAACACATGGAGGCAAGTGAATTAAACTAAAGTTAGTTTAATTAAAATAACAAACTAGTAAGTTTAGTTAAGAAGTTCAAATTAAGTTAATTTTTAACGTATTAACTCGTTTATGCCTAGCCTTATATTAAAATCATTAGAATTTTATGTCTCTATAATCGACATAAACCGTGTTCGCCGACTCGACGTTTTCGGTACATAATGTACATTCGAAAACGTTCACTGGGAGGTTTAATCGAATCGAATATTATTATATAGCTATAACCCCTAATATTATACCGTCATATAAGCGATGGTGCTAACAAAGGCGGGATCAAATAATTTATTCGAGTTTAATAAACCGGAAATTTTGGCCGCAAAATAATATTTTTGTAAAACGGTTAATGTGTACACGAAAACCACAGCGGGAAATCGATCGCGAGTCACGAGTGCGGAAAAGTTAAAATGTCAGATTAAAATCCCCGATAATGTTTGTTATTGAGAACTCGGAGAAATTTGTTTTTACAATATTGAAGTTTTTATACAGTATTATTAATACAACTAATGTTTTATAATAAAAAATAGGTAAAACTTAAGTTAGTAATTTTACTATAATTTTCGTTTTACTTATTGCCGATTGTTTATATGTCTCGTCCGACGACAGAGAGATCATTTCAGCACAGACGAGTAGTTTGAGTTTTGTGTTTAAACTCTATAAAGTTCGTAATCCGTTTTGTGGAGTTTAGAGATAACATCGCGTAGCATCATTGCTGACATAAATTAATCACACTTATTCGTATTATCTCCGGTATTTTGTTCTGTTTTATGAATTGTATTGTTACTGTTAGGAGCAAACGCAAATTGCACACAACGTAAGATGAAAATTATAAATTGTACCCAATGCGTT